GAGTCTAGGGGTCAGGTGTAACATTCCAGTTTTGCCCACTAATTACCAAGGTACAGGGCTATAATTCAGGTCTGGTTCAGGGTTTCAAGTAAACCTACACTACATGTACCTCGAGTCTCACCTTGGCAGCTGAGACAAGCCACCCCAACCAACTTGGCGGCACATCAGTGTCAGCAGGATAAATCTCCTCAGACTTATCCAATGGCTGTGAACATTCTAAACTAACACGAGTCTCATATATGTCCAGTTTAAGGGTATTACACAGAAACACACCACAATAACATGAATCAAATATGTACTTTATTCATTTACAATAAATGTTATAATGTACATCATTCTGATTGGAGCTAAGGGCATATACTGTCTAACAATATTAGTGTAAATAAAATGTGTTTACAAAAATACCCCTGTTTGTGATAAATTCTGGACAGGAGTACCCTTAATAAAAGAAAGGAAATACTAAGCTATCCTACTGCCCCAAGCCCAAATACAAGAAATCTATTCCCCTCAACAATATGGGAATGGATAATGGTGTAAACTAATGGAAAATACTAGCAGTTCTCCACATCAATGGCAGCAAAGCATAGAACCACATTAATTTCTATGACCATAGAAGACTTATTTTTCTTTACTTTTACTTCCATTTTTTTATTTTGGGCACTGTAGTGCACTCGTTTTACTACAAAATCAACTCAATCAGTTGTGCCCTTACTGTTTTCTACCGTTAATTGTTTGCTTCCAACAAGAATATGCTAGGCTTACTGACTAGACAATGTGAGCTCCTTTCTTAACCCAAACCTAAAATATCAGCCTGAATGGTGACTCCTAATATTGATGTTGATAATTTCTCCTGGGCTTGGCCTAGTCATCAGACAGGTCTAGAGAGGAAATGCACCAGATCCAGGCACAAGAAGAGAGGAAGGGAGATGTTCAATATAGCCTACCTGCCATCTTTATTTTGGGAGAATCTTGGATCTAGGGGCATAGAACTAATATATGGGTATGGTGCTCCCATTACTTGCAACTGTCCTACTTCTCAAGAATCAGACCTAACCATTAAATTGATCTAAACTAAAACTATGGTTGTACCATATATCAGTTTAATTAGATGTCTTTTAACCATCTGATTTGGGGTGTTATTTGTAGAACTACTTTTAAATTTAAGAAAAGCTGATTTTTGACTTTGTTGATCTTCTAAGTGGGACTTATCAGACAGTGGGTTAGAATACTCCAAGTGACAAGTTATGGGAATCCATGCCCTTATACAGATTGTGTGTCACCGGACCCCCCACTTTAGCCTTTTATTTGTTATATTTGTCTTCTTGTGTCAGTTTCTCAAGAATCTCAACTAGAATGTACAACATCCAAAACAAAAGGGCACTTATCATTTGCCAAAATACCAAAATATATGGTTTTTCCACTGCAGTCTCATTGTAAGATAACTTACAGAAGTCAGCACTATAAGGGATTACGCATGCTTACAGTATGAAATGGCACATTGTCCTTGCCCATAAACTGAAAAAGCTCCACATTTTCAGGATTTTTCCACCATTTCTCCCATTCATCTGTGTAGCATTTAGTGATTGAAACATATCCAATAGGAGCATCAAACCATACATAGAAAACCTATCATTAGAGTAAAATCAATCAATATATGTAGTATGAACATACAATTGTAAAATTATACATAACATAAGTTGTACATGCCTTAAAACAAAAGGAGAAATGGAACAAAAATGTAGTAAACAAGGATATAGGATATAGCCAATATAAGATGAAAACTATATGTAACTCTATATCAATCTTATTTACCTTGTCTTTGAATTTGTCATGTGGAACAGGAACCCCCCACTTAAGATCCCTGGTAATACACCGTGGTTTTAGTCCCTCTTTTAGCCAGGCATTTGTAGCTTGAACAGCATTCTGACTCCATGATCCAGCCACTGACATGTTGTTGATATACTCCTCTAACTTATGCTTCAACAGTGGGAGTTCTAGAAACATGTGATCTGTATCACGAATATGTGGGGTTGTCCGACAGATCTGCAGACAAAACAAACTCAAGTGAAGTAGAAGAAACATAAGATTGAAACTCCAAAATGTAGCATGTTCAAACTTCCATCAATTTCAAGTGCAACTCATTCTACAATCCTAGCAGGTTAAAACTGCACATTATACCTTGCATTTAGGATCCTTTAGTTCTGTTGGATTCAACATTTTGCCACATTTTTCACACTGATCACCTCTTGCAGATTCATAGTTGCAATCTGGTGTAGGGCAGGTGCCCTCCACGAACCTGTCAGCTAAAAAGCGTTTGCATGTGTTGCAGTAGAGCTGTATTACATTAGAGTTTAATGGCGATTCAATACCGTATATCATGAAGTTCAGGTTAAAGGGGAAGACAATTCATAAGGTACAAATTATTCCACCAAACAAACAGAAGACATAAAGCACTAGTTCTTACAAACACATGGAAAGCTATAAAGAAAGCACATGAAGACTAGCCTGCTGCATAGTGTTTTCTGAAAGCCAATTGTTCTCCAAAAGCTTCTTGAAAATTGCTTGGCAAATTTCAGTCTGCTGTGGAGTAGATGTTCGCCCAAACTCATCAAAACTTATGTCAAACCACTTATATACCTCTCTATGAATCGCATGGTATCTGCATGGATCACATACACGAGTTCAAATATAAGAATAAATGAATGACTAAGAAGGAAGAGAAGAAGAAAGGTCAGAAGCCAAGGCTACCCTGCTAAGATGCTTTAAATCATGTAGTTTAATTGGAAACTGTTAGAGCACCACTTTCTAACCATATCAATCTTTCTTTTTCGTAATAGGTTTCCAAGTATATCGAACTTAAATCCTGTGTATTTTCTCCTTCCATTTATTGGGTTTCGTATGAAAGCCTTGACTTCGAGCTCCGGGMAAAATTAACTTAATCTGCAACCCGGCAGCTAGGCTCAACATGGGTTCACTCTGAACTTCCCAGATTGTTGTCAATTGAAAATTAACCTATAGGATTTGAAGTAATAAAAGCACTTACTTGTCGCAAATCTGCTGAGGGGTGCAGTTTTCTTCCATGGCTTTTGTCTCAGTCGCTGTGCCATATTCGTCTGTACCACATATGTAAATGGTGTTGTATCCACGGAGACGGCAGTACCGAGCAAAGACATCAGCACTCAAAACACCTGAAAAACAAGATTACTCAATTATTAACTCAATTGGAGAAAGAAGGGGAGCAAATTCAAATCAGTACAAAAGAAAAATTGAGAGCAGAAAACTGCAATTTACATAGTAAGAGAGAGAGGGAGAGAGAGAGAGAGAGAGAGAGAGAGGTTACAGCCGATGATGTTCCCGAGGTGGGGAACATTGTTGACATATGGTAAAGCACTGGTGATCAGAATGTTCCTGCGGCCCTCAATGGGAAGTTTGGGGACTTTCCGATGGCCGGCGGTGTCTGAGACGTCTCCCATCTGCAAATTCTCTAGATTTCTTCAGGGTTTTAGAAAGAAAGATTAGGAGGGGGGCATGAAGGAATGAGGTGATATGAGAATTGTGTTGGAGAATAACTCCGGCTCGAGGTGGTTAGGTGGTTTTGTTTTTACTGGATTTCTGGTGTTGGTTAGAGAGGTTCAGTTGTTTTGTTCATCCCCTGCTGTTCTCTGCGCCGTGGCTGGATGGACGGCTGCTTGTTCCAATCGGCTGCGTAGGTTGTGCCACAGACAGAGACGCTTTCTTGGTGTGTAAGAGAGAGAGAGAGAGAGAGGACCGGGGGAGGGAGAGTGGAGAGAGAGAGAAAGAGACGTTACAGCCAGCCAATCAGGACGACGGAATGGGAAGAAACCAATTGCTGGATTTTTTTAATAAGCCTATGTTTGTTGGCAATGCAAATCTGAACCGAAAACAATTTCGCAGTCGGTGCAGTTTGGTATCCATTATAATTTGTACCTATATTTGTTGCAAACTTTGCATTTACCGTCTCTTTTGCACTTACTAGTCATTGAAATTTTATAAAATTTGCACCACCTTCCTCTTACCTTAAATTTCTCATATAAAATACCGAAGTAGGGACCATATCGTTTTGCTTCCTACCATACTCCTAAGGCTCAGTTTGGAAGGAGTATAAATGCAAATATATAGAATGCAAAACCTTAAATTTTATATTATTTTGTATATATTTGTATTGTACATATTTACATCTGTATTCTTTCCAAACTGAGCCTAAATAAATGATCTTCCTCTTGTCTCCATAATTTATCATATAAAGTGTGGGCCCTGTGGGGATCATATCATTTTACTTCTCACAAACAAACAAAGCAAGGCTAAATTAGGAAGGCTTTGTTTGTTAATTGTAATGCAAATTTGAATTGGATACAAATTTTGCATCCAGTTTAGTTTTGCATATATTTGTTTGTGACCATGACTTTTTATTTTTTATTCTTACCGGATACAATATTTGCTCTTTTTGTCTCATTTCCACCTGAGTAGTGCAAATTTTGCATCTTAAAAAGTGATGCAAAATTTGCACTACGTGCTCCTAATTTCTCTCTCATATAAAATTGGAACCACTTCAATTTGCTTCTTACCTTACTCCTCCCAAGCAAATAGTCATTCATGTTGCCTGCACTCTCTTTCATATAAGGTGGGGATCACATCATTTTTACTTATTATAAACAAACAAAATAAGGTTAAATCATTTGTGAGAGTATACCATAATTTGYAGTCAGCCTATTTGCACTCCCATTCATTTACACCAATGTAAATGAAATTTGTACTAGCAACAAACTTGAGACCAAGCAAAAGTAATTTAGAATTTAACTCAATCCGTTTGCACTCCCATGAATTTACTCCAACAGAAATGAAATTTACACTGCAAACTAACTGAGCATAGAAAATTAAGCAAAGTAGCAAACCATGTTGAAAAGTTAAAAAAAAAAAAAAAAACACACACACACATTGAAAATGGTTTAGCCGGTTTTTAGGGCCAATTGAACCAACCATAAAGATGGTGAACCCTATGAAAATAGACAAAAAATTAACTACAAAATACATATATAGATCATTTTCGAAAGAAAATAATTATTTTTTATTTATATATTGTTAAGAAATATTCAATCTTTTGACCAATGTAAGTTATATCTAATTCCATTGACTTGGGTGTTAAAAATCTTTTAAGATTATTGAAAATTATCGGCTCTTGAATATAGGCCCCACACGGTTACCAAGTGCATTTGTCCAAATATTTTTTATCATTAATTTATCTAATTAAGTTAAATAATTGACCATTTTTACTCATATATTTTATTATTAGAAGGGTAATTTTATCCAATAATTGTTCTGTAACTTTTTCCTAGATGGAAAAGATATTTATCAACCATGTGAAAGAATCGATTTATCGTAAACCCTCCAATTACMGAAAAATGAGGGTAAATTAATTGATCAACTGTTATGGGCCCGTGCGTAGGATCTCGTCATGAGGCGGTTTGTGGGGAAAACTCCTTGCCTTCCCTTGCCCTTCCCTTTGCGAGTTGACCCTATGGTGGCGGACTGAGGGGTGATTTGTTCAAGAGATCACCTAACTCTCTTTGCTCTCTTTCTTGACTGAAATTTCGATACCTTTATTGAATAAAATCAGCTCCTTAAATAGGAGATTACAAGAG